CTTTTTATATCTCAGAATTGTTTTCTAGTTCTGAATCTTAGTCAGTTGTTTAGGCTATTTTCTTTTGTTTCTTCGTGTAAGTAAAATGGGCTGTTGTTTCTTGAGCATTTTGGTGTTGTCTTATTTGTATTTAATTGTTGATTGTATGTTGATATGCTCTTAGGCTCTCACTGTCTCCTGAGGGTGTAGAGAATGGAAGTGTGTACATTATTCTACATTCAAATACCTCAGTTTAAGGTAGTTTTGCCTGGTGTTGGCTGCTGTCTGTCATTGATCAGGTGATATAGGAGCTTGTCTTGGCTCTTGCCCAGTAGATGAAGCTGCAGAGGGTATGGTTGTGGCTGGCCTATATGGTCACAGTTGCTGTCTCCTATTGGGTAGGAAAGATGAGAAAACCCCTCTCACACACATGCAAGAAAACAAAATAGAATACACAAATAAAGAACAAATAATGAAAAGAGAAAATAATAAACAGAAAAAAGAAAAAAACACAGGCAGCAACCAGATAAATGGAATATAATCTTTGAAAAGATAAAAGGTGGACAGGCCATCGACCTGGAGAAGAGAGAGAGAAGAGGAAGGGCTGGTTGGTTAGAAGTGTGGTGAGACCAGAGGACTCCTAAGCCCATTGACAAGGACCTAGCCACAGAGTGAATCTTCCAGCTGATATGAAGTGAGGGGAGATGTACAAGAATGCCCAAACTTGCAGATAGTACCCATTTGACCTAGCTTCAATGGCTTGATGATCAGAACTTGACTTCTTGTTGTTGTCAGTAGAGTCGGTTCCAACCCATAGCTACCCTGTATAGGGTTTCCAGCTAGAAGAAGATAAAGAAATTTGATAAGGGAAACAAGTGCAAATTGCTATAATTTGATGAACTTGATATATACTTATGGATGTGGCGGTGGTGGTTATATGCCATGGAGTCAATTCCTACTCATAGCTGCCCTGTACAGGGTTTCTAAGGCTGTAAATATTTACAGGAGTAGAAAGCCTCATCTTTCTCCTATGGAGCAGCTGATAGTTTTAAACTGCTGACCCTGAGGTTAGCAGCCTGATTCGTAACAACTAAGCTACCAGAGTCCTACTTATGGATGTAGTAGCTCAAAATACCAACTGAGAGGGAAGGAGTCTTTACATCAAGGATCAAACCTATCCTCTTTGTACATGGGTTTTATCAGGACAGGCAACTTAGACATTGGCTACCTGAAATCGGGGGACGAGGAGTAGCTATAAAAACACAAAGTGTCTGGCTTACAAGTTTTCAATACGGGATTGTTTCAGAGTGTGCAGGGAAGGCAGAATTTTTACTGAATAGTTTTCATTTTGTCTAGAAGGGTCTGGTGAAAGGAGATGGGGATAAGGGTCTTATGATTCAATAGTGAGTAATTATTATCATGACTAATTGAGATTGTCACATCTGTAAAGATAGATTTTTGTAACATAAAGAGGGGAGTAGTTAATCTTACATTCCAGGAACAGAGGACCTAGGACCATCAAGGGAGAAGAGCATGAGAGGAATGTGGGACCCTATCCAGAGATGCAGCGATACCAGAGATGAGGGCAGAGATGATGACATGGAAAGATAGAGCAGCTGAGGACTCCAGACTTATGGAATGAGAAAGGCTTTGTGCTGGCAGCCAGGAGGCAGGCTTGCAGAATGTGTCCTTGGGTTGCTTAAATAATTACATATTCCTGAGTGTTTTTTGTATACATCAAATAAACAAAAACAAAAACAGAGAATAGAAGCAAATACTGCTGAATTATGATGCATGAAGGGAATTGTAATCATTGCAATGAAATGCAGTATGATAGGATAAGTGCAAACTGGTGTTCTCCTTTGGAAACTGTCACTCAATTCACAATAGAAGCTTTAAAAAAAAAAAAAAAAAAGAGGGGAAATAAGGCACGTTTTCTAGCAAAAAAAAGAAAAAAAAAAATACTGGTGGCATATTGTCCAGAATTATAGCAACACAGAAGCCACCACCATATGACAAACTGACAGACACGTGGTAAATTTTACCCATAGAATCCTTCAATATTACAACCCAAGGCTTGAATTTTACTTTAGTTCTTATTTCATGAGAAATGCTTAGTGTCTCGTTCTAATGCCAGATCTTTGCCTATTTCGCTTTAATAATAGATTTTGTTTTCTGTCTGCCTTTTGAAATCTTCTGTCAAGCTCTTATGTCATCCTTTCTTCCAATCCCTTTAGTTTTCTCTGTTCAGTAGAAAGTTTCAGTGTCTCTTCTGACATCCACTTTGTTCTTTTCTTTCTTTTTAATGACTTTCTTCATGTATCATGTCCTTATTTTCATACCATAACTTGACTAGTCTTTGATGATCAATGCCGTAAATTTATGTTTAAATTCACCTCTAAGTTCAGGTGGGATATAATTGAAGTCCTGCTTTGGTTCTCATGGACTTGTTTAATTTCCTTCAGCTACAATTTGAACTTGCATATAAGCAACTGTTGCTGTATTCCACAATCTTCTCTTGACTTTTTCCTGACTGATGATATTGAACTTATCTATCATGTCTTTCCACAGATATAGTTTAGTTGATTCTTTTATATTCCATCTGGCAAGGTCCACATGTAGTCACCATTAATATTATTAAACAAAAGTTATTTTAATGAATAAATCATTTGTCTGCAAAAAAGAAAGAAACAGGAAAATGGAGCTATAGAAGAGAAAAAGAAGAGAAGAAATAAAAGGAAGAAAAGAAAAACAGAAACTAGGGAAAGTGACGATGAAGAGAGAAAAAGAATAGAGAGTAGTAAAGAAAGATGAAAAGAAAAAAAAAGGATGAGGAGAAATGAGAAACAGAAGAAAAGAAGTAAAAAGAAAAGCAGAGATAAAATTCTAGGGCCTGGAAAGTGAAGAAGGCTAAACAAGCAAAAACAACAAAATGGTGGAAAGATAAAACCAAAACTAAAACAAAACAAAAAACAGTGTAGCTGTTGGACCCACAGAGAAAACTCTTTTGGACTCTTGCCAGTCAAGGACTTCACAAGGTGGGTGCAAGAGGGATGAGACAGTGGTGTTCCTAGCCTTCGATGGCTTCCTATAGGCCTAAATGTTAGGGCACTCAATGCAGTAGTTCATGAAGGCCCATGATGGAGCGTGCTTCAGTGTCTATTAGGACAGCAGGGCAGCTGGGGACACCGTTAGGTGATTCTGAGGCTCTCTCCTAGACTAATGTTGGTCTGGTGACTACAGGTTAAAGTCCTGGACCAAGTCCACCTGAATCCAGGCACCAAAGAAGCCAAGCTCTGATGAGCAGGGCCTGTGCTGGAGGTGGATAGGGAAAGAAGCATAGGGAAAAAGAAGGACTCACACCTTTCCTGTCCCCTGTGTGAATGTGTTCTGCCAGGCCACTTTATGTCACACCAAAGCTGCTCACAAACATTTAAGATGTCCGTGCTACATCTTGCCAACTGTTCACCCTCTTGCCATCTCTGCTCAGCTTCTCCTCTAAGCAAATACTCAATCCACTTCTCTATACTTTCCTCTGAAGTTCAGGGATCCAGGATTTTTTTCTGTGTCTGTTTCATTTGGCCTCTTGTATCTTTGTTGTAGGTGATCCATGTGGAGTGTCTGTGTAGGATGTCATTATGCCAGAAGTCCCTCTAAATGTGTTCTTTTTGGTTTTGTAATTTAATATTGACAGTACTTAGCTGTACAGTCATTTTATGGGTCAATTTTGTTTTCTCCATTATAATTTCTCAAAAATTAAGAAATATTAGTAAGAGAAAATATATTAAGAATTTTTCTATATTTCAGATTTCTTAACCAAAGCATTTTGGTGGATTCATACATTAATCCATGTGTAATATGTAAATAATAACCCCAAATGTAAGAGTTGCCCCAAATTTTTATATTGTAAATTGAATTATAAAAACAGAAAGACACTTTACAGAAGTTATGTGAATAGCAAATATGCACATGAAAAATGCTCAAGATCATTAGTTACATGGAAATATAAATTAAAATCACAGTGAGATATTTCTGTACACTAACCAGAATGACTAAAATGTAAGGAACCAGAATCTTCATACAATAATAGTAAAAATGTTAAATGGTACAGCCACTGGGGATGTTTGACAGTTTGTTAAAACATTAAACATATGTTTACCATACGACTTAGTGATTTTACTCCAACATTGCCATTCATAAGAAATGAAGGTATTTCCACATAAAAATTTGTGCATGAATGTGTATTGCAGAATTATTTATAATAGCCCCAAGCCAGAAAAAAATCCTATGTCTCTCAACTGGTGGATGGATAAATAAAATTGGTATAACTACATGGTGGTGGTGGTGATGTGCCGTGGTGTCCATTTCGACTTACAGCAACCCTGCGTAGGGTTTCCGAGGCTGTAAGTCTTTATGGGAGCAGAATGTCTCATCTTTCTCCTGTGAATCAGCTGGTAGTTTCAAAATGCTGACCTTGAGGTTAGCAGCTGTACTCATAACCACTGTGGTACCAGAGCTCCTTGGTATAACTAACTACATATTTAATATCCATCAATTCAAAGAAAGAAACTAGTGAAAAATACAATTCTATGAATTAATGATAGGATCAGCACTGTATTGCTAACCATAAGGTTGGTGGTTCAAACCCACCAGTCAGTCTCTCCTTGGAAACCCCATACAGGGTCTCTAAGAGTCAGAACTGACTCAACATAAAAAAAGAATTGCATATTGTATGGCTCCATTTGTGTTAAAGTCTAGAAGAGGCAAATTATAGAGGCAGAGAACACATCAATGTTTACTTGCCACTGGTCATAGGAGAAGAGATTGAACACAATGGGCACAAGTGAACTTTTTGGGGTGATGGAAGTGTTCTAAATTTGGATTTGCTAATGGTTGCACAACTGTATAAATTTACTGAAACTCATTGGTTCAAAATGGATGTATTTTATTGTTTCTAAAGTGTACCTCAATGCAGCTATAAACAAACCACATATAATATGTTTTACTCTCTTTGTGCCTAGGTAATTATCTGTAAGAAACTTTCTGAAAAGCTGGTAGAATTTCCGTTGCTGGCATCTTGGTACCAGAGGATTCAGGAAGTACCCAGAGTAAAAGCAGCAGCTTCTCAGTGTGGAATCCAATTTCTTGATTTACCAGAATTACTGACTACCTCAACTGAGCAGCATCCAAATCTATGTGAGATCCAAGATGTAGAGGAGCAAAATGATCCTTCATTTATAGGAGGGCCAAGGCCAACTATGACCAAGTTAATGGTAATTAAATTATTAATTTTTAAATCCATATGATAATGTTTATAGTCAAATTTTGACATTATGCATGTTCTCAGTTTTTTTAGTAGCAAGTGTCTTGAGTCACTTTTTGACAATTATTTTCACTAGTCTTTTACATCATTCATGTGAAGAATATTGTTTTTAACTATCTGTTCTGTCTCATTCCAACCCTATATAGGATTGCTAAGGCTGTAAATCTTTGCTGGAGCAGAAAGCCTCATGTGAAATATAGTTAAATTGAAAATTTCTATTTCTGTACCTTTGGACTCAATATGTGCTTTTGAAAAGGTTGTTTTTCTTTCATATATATATATATATATATATATATAATTTTAAATTATATTTAAGACTTTGACCAAGGTAATATCATACCTGGTTAAGTGAAATGTTTTCATCAGTTGCAAGATTTTGACTGTCTTTTTCTATTTTAAAATGATAATATGAAGTTAAAGATATATAAAACTGAATATACCTATTTATTTTCTAAGGTGTTACCTATTTTGAAATCTTTGGATTTTGGTTTTACTTCATTCTTTGAGTTTAGTGACTTTATTGCATAATTGTTACGTGTTGTCGAGTTGGTTTCAACTCCTAGAGGTCTTTTGTACAACAGAACAAAACACTGCCCAGTCCTGCATCAACCTCACAATCATTGTTACGCTTGTGCCCATTGCTGCAGCTACAGTGTCAATCCAACTCATTGGGTATCCCTCTTTTTTGCTCCCCCTCCAATTTACCAAACACGATGTCCTTCTCCAGGGATTGGTCCCTCTTCATAGTATATCTGAAGTATAAGAGACGAAATCTGGCCAATTCGGCTTCTAAGGAGCATTCTGATTGTACTTCTTCCAACACAGATTTGTTTGTTCATCTGGCAATCCATGGTATTTTAAATATTTTTCTGTAACACCATAACTCTAATGTATCAAATTATTGTATGATCTTCCTTATCTGTTGTCCAGTGTTCTCATGCATGAGGCTATTGAAAGTGCCATGGCTTGAGTCAGGTACACTTAGCCCTCAAACTGACATCTATGTTCTTGAACACTTTAAAGAGAGGTCTTTTGCAGCAGATTTGCCTAATGCAATACATCCTTCGATTTCTTGACTGTTGCTTCCATGAATGTTGATAGTTGAACCAAGCAAAATGAAGTCTTTGACAACTTCAATCTTCTCTCTATTTATATGGATGTTACTTATCTGTCCATTAGTGAGGATTTTTGTTTTCTTTACATTGAGATGCAACCCATCAAAGGCTGTCGTCTTTGATTTTTATCAGTAAGTATTTCAGGTCCTCTTGCCTTTTAGTAAGCAAGATTGTATCATTTGTATATCTCAGGTTGTTAATGAGTTTCCCTCTAATCCTGATGCCACATTCCTCTTCATGTAATCCAGTTCCTTGTATTATTTGCTCAGCATAAATTAAATAAAACCTAGCACACATATTTCCTGGTTTTAACCCATTCAGTGTCCCCTTGTTTTCTTCAGATGACTGTTTCTTGGTGTATGTACAGGTTCCTCATGAGTTCCTGAATACTCTTCTCTGTAATGTTGTTCATAGCTTGTCATGATCCACGCAGTTGAAAGCCTTTGCATAGTCAGTAAGCACAGGTAAACATCTCTGTGGTATTCTCTGCTTTTAGCCAAGACACATCTGATGTCAGCCATGATAACTCTCATTCCATGTCCTCATCTGAGTCCTGCTTGAACCTCTAGAAATTCCCTGTCAATGTACTGTTATAGCCATTTTTGAATTATCTTTAGCAAAATTTTATTGCATGTGATATTAATGATATTTTCCAGTAATTTATGTATTCTGTTGGGTCATCTCTTTTTAGAATGAATATAAATATGGATTTCTTACAGTCAGTTGGCCAAGTAGCTGTCTTCCAAATTCCTTGGCATAGATGAGTGAGTGCCTCTCCATTTGTTGAAAAATTTCTTTACATTGAGATGCAATGTAAATTGTATTCCATCAATTCCCAGAGCCTTGTTCTTTGCCAATGCCTTCAATGCACATTAGATTTCTTCTTTCAACACCAATGCTTCTTGATCATATGTTACTTCTTGAAATGGTTGAACATCCATCATTTTTTTTGGTGCACGAACTCTGTAAATTCCTCCATTTTCTTTCTTTTTTTTTTTTTTTTTTACAAATACATACGTATATATGGTGGGGTTTCAAAAAGTTTGTGGAGTGATGGGTTTAAAGAGAATTAAATTTAATTTTTCCACTAACTTTTTTTCTAAGTTTTTATTGTGAATTGAATGATAATTTACATGGGAGAACATTGATTTTATGCTTATCGTTTCATTGCAATGATTACAGTCTTTTCTGTGTATCATCATTCAACAGCATTTGCTTCCATTCCCTCTGTTTTTGTTATTTTTTTGTGGGGGATAGATAATAATTATTTATTATATTGTATTTAAACAAAGGGCAAATTCTGTAAGCCTTCCTCCTACCCGCCAGCATTCAGTCTTTCTCTTTCCATGAGTCAGCAGTTCTCAGTGGCTCTCTTTCTCCATGTCCTTATCTCTGCCTCCACCTCTGGTGTGGCTGCCTCTCTGGATAGGGTTCCACATTCCGCTCGTGCTCTTCTCCCTTGATCGTCCTAGGATCCTCTGTTCCTGGACTATAACATTAACTACTCCCCTCTTTATGTTACAAAACTTCTACCTTTACAGTTGTGACAGTCGCAGTTAGTCATGGTAACAATTACTCACTACAGAATCATAAGAATCTTATCCCTATCTCTTCGTACCAGAGCCATGTAGCAAGAAGAAAACTATTCAGTGGGGACTCAACCTTCCCCTGCACACTCTTTTTTTTTTATGTTTTTATTGTGAGGTTTAGATGGGAGAACATCAGCTTTACACTCATCCTATCGTATTTCATTTCATTGCAGTGATTACAATCCCTTCCATGCATCATCAAATACACAAAGGGTACATCACAGGCCCGCTCCCATGACCCCAGCACACACCCTTCTCCCTCCCTGAGTCCAATGTCCCCAGTGGCTCCATCTGTCCACTTCATCGTCTCTGTCTCCGTCCCTGGCATCACTGCCTCTCGCAGTAGGATCCTGCTCTTCATTCTTCTCACTTGATGGTCCCAGGGACCTCCACTCCTGGGCTGCAAAATCAATCACTCTCCTTCTTTTGTCAAAAAACATCTACCTCTATATTTCCTACCCTCACAATGAGACCTGATGGCAATTATTCACTATTGTACCACAACAGTCTTAACCCCATTTCCTTTCGCCAGCCCGGTCCCAATGGATTGGAAATAATTCCATGGTGATTCTACCTTCCCCCGCCCCATCTGGAACTAGGCTCCCTCTTGAAAGCTTGTAAGCCAGTCACTTCTTGCCTTTATAGCCCCCCCCCCCCATTTATAGGCCCCACAATATCTAAGTTGTCCATCCCTGTCAACCCTGTGTACCGAGGGGGTGGGAGTATTCCTTGCTGTAAAGATTTGTGCCCTTTTATGAGCTACTATATCCATAAGTATAGATAAAGTTCATCAAATTGTAGCAAGTGATGCTTCCCCCTCCCCCCCTTCTTTTTTCTTCTAGTCGAGTTCTGATCATCTAGCCATCAAAGCCAGGTCAAGTGGGTACTATCTGAAAGTATGGGTATTCTTGTGCGTCTCCCCTCACTTCATAGCAGCTGGACAATTAACTCTCCATTTTAGTCTTCTGTGGCCATGTCACTTCCTCTGGGGCCAGGAGTCCCCAGGTCTTTCCATACTGTTGGCCAACCAGGTCTCCACTCAGGTTCACAGGGATCTATTGAATGTGGTCAGACTTAGCTTGCAACTACATTGCTGTTTTTACCCCCTCTTCCCCTTATCGATGACTTATGTGGTCACAAGCCAGACCACATTCCTACTCATGTATTCCCATTGAGTCTCAGTCTTAGAAGGGGATTTGCTCTGAGGGGTCCCAACCACTTGTCTTGATGGTTCCTGGGTGAACAGTTTACTTGTAGTAATCAATCAGACTGCATTTATTGTTTCAGATTTTTCCTGCCAGTCTTTCTTTCACACAGTATCTTCTGTTCTTCTAGCCACTCCAGGCTGGTCTACTCATCCTTTCCAGTGGAAATTTCCTACCTCAGTCAGTTCTGGATGGGGTTCTGGATTCCACCTATGGTCTTATGCAAAGTAAGGGCTCCACCGGAAGCCTCTTTCACTGGGCAACTTCTAGCCCCCTTTAAGGTATTCCAATCAGTTATAGACTGAAGACAGACTTACAAGTTTTCTGTAGTGATGTTTCTAGCTACTCCTTTCTCCCCCTTCAAGTGTCTATTTTACAATGGTAAGCAAGGGAAACCAAGATTCAAAAGACAACCAAGCATCTTAACATTATTCCCCTCTTTTACCACTTCAAACCATGCCTCCATTCCTTTTTCCCAGAGTGCTGTTGTTCCAAGGTTGTGCATAAATCATCATTTACCTCTGTCTCACTTAGCCCATGAGAACCTGTTCACCCATCAGCCTTGTTCTTCCATTCCCCTCCCCCTTCTTGTGAATTGCCCCCCCCCGCTCC